TCTGCCTGACATCCACGGTATTAATGTACAGGTAGTGTAACCAATTACATTACAGCTGAAAACAGCCAATAGGCCTGTTGACATAGTGAATAAATTTGTCTAACATACATGCTATGAATATATTCTCAGATGATCTATGCTGCATCTTGCATCATTTCAAACGTGGAGGCTAGTTGGCCAATGTCAGTTCAGGATTCCAGAATTTTTAGGCAATCAAACCTGTATTGGAAACTTGAACGAGGTAATACCCATACATATTTAGACATCATGGCAAAGTGTTTATTTTATGCAAAACTGTTAAATTTTAAGCTGGTAATCATGATGGGGTCCTGTTTGGAGACAGGGGGATGTCTGCAGACAGTTTTTAATGACCTCATTCCCCAACCCCAACCCTGGACCACAAACTCGATATAATGCAGTTCTGTCTAGGACAAGGGCATGAATTGAATTGACCTTTGGCCACCTAAAGGGGAGATTTCAGTGTCTAAACAGGGTGAGGGTTGCACCCGACAGAGCATGTGACATAGTTGTTGCATGCTTTGTCTTACACAACATAGCCACCATCAGGAAAGAGAGGGATCCGGAAGTGGTGCTGCAGCCTGATGGCGACCTTGAGTCGCTGCAGCTACACCAACCCAGTGGCAGAGCTGCCAGAGACAGAATCGTGGCCCAATATTTTTAATAATGATGACACAATTGTTCAACACAAATGGTATGTTTATTACCAAAGACGCTACTTCCTTAGGGGGAGAGAATGATTAAAAAGTACACAAAATGTGAGAGAGAGAGAAAGAGAGAGGATTTTTGTCTGCATGGTGCCTCTTGCATCTGCAGTAATATATACTAACCCTCTGGTGGTGTCAGGAAAAGGCTCACAGTATAGCACTTTGAACCCTTTGTGCCATGTCACTCACGTGTTTACAAAATACAGCAAATGGTTCGAGAAGCTTCATTAGAACATCTCAACTAAACTGCACATCTCCCTTTTTTGATGCGGACTGTATACCAGCAGGGGCATGCGTGCTGGCAATGGGCTCCTGCACAACACATCCATCACTATCAGTACAGGAATGCTTGGAGTGAAGTTCATACATTACTAAATACCAAGTATTTACATCCTTACCGATTCTCCTGAAGAGTGGTCACTGTGACAATGTGTTCCCATCCAACACGTCACACGGGTCAGCCTCTACTTGCTCAGACACAGGTGGAAGTTTTATGACACTCCCTGCAACTGAATCATCAAAAAGAGAATATATGGAAACTGAACCACGAGGCCTCTGAAAACACACCTACGGCACACAAAGCATATATGTGCAGTGCTGATCCTTCACCCGCAGTGAAGTGAGCAGTGCTGCATCCTGCCACCGGCCCCGAGGAGGAGTGTCCCCCTCCAGTGCCCTCAGAAACAGGGCAACGGGCATTTTGCTGGAGAGTCAGCTCTTCAGCAGGGGTGAGGTCTGGACCAGGTGGACCTCCACCAGATCCTTTTAGCTCCACCTTCTTCTTACTAGCTTTTAAAGGAATAATAATAATAATGTATCAATAAAACAAATGTTCTTGAAACTGTTTATGCTATGATATGTAAGATTTACCAGTTTTGAAGTGTATTTTCGTATTAACTTAAACATGTTCCCAGGTCCTCTCTGTGCTTACATTTGATCTGTATTATAATGAATAAATATCAATTAATGATGTAACACTGTGGAAATTTGACATTGCATACAAATAAATAAACACTTATGCCTTTCATTTGTCTGCTAGGTTTTGCCAGCCCTCTTTTCAAGTTTTGGCCGCTTTTGCGGTGTTTAATTTTTTACCTATTAATTCCTTGACTTCATCACACCCCTCCAGTAAAACTTCTTGCTCAGCCATGGGAAAAAAATTACGCTCTTTCTTTTGCCATCTCTATGCACCAATAAGCGACTTGCTGATCATGTTTCCTAGCCTAGATATATATGGGCTTTTCGAGCAGCATGGGAGCGCGCAATCATCTCAGATTATTGAATCCAGCTAGTCTAATCTAATCCTCAGGTGCGTTTGGAGATCCGATGTAATCGGATGAGTTTTACCGCCGTTAGCTGATCCAAGATGAGGCTTCTGATCTTGGATGATTTAAGCGACGTATGGAGAATACCACCCAGGAGTTAAAGTGTTGCTCAGAAGCTTATATATTTGTCAGTTATTATTATTGTTTATATGGAAGCCTTTGTTAAGCACAGGATGCTTGATGCTGTCTGAGGCTGCCTAGATGAAGTTAAAGTGTCAAATAACCGTGAAGTTACATGTGGGATGCACAGCTAAAAACAAACACCAAAAAAACATGTCAATGCAATGTTTGTTCTCATGAGCCGGAAGTGGGATTATCGTGTTAATAAAGATTGAATACATGTCAAGAGAGCTTTAAAATGATGTGTCAGCATATAGTTACGTAATCATCACTTATTATTTGTGTGAATTGTGATTTTGCAGTTATTTTAGCCAACATTCAGTTTGATACTTCTTATTGGCACATTTTGTGTTATTTCCCATATTGGATATAAATATATGCTCAAACTGACACAACTATGCCTGGCATTTTTGCACAGCTTACATAAATATGTAAATAAACTGGCAACTGACTAATTGGTGAGAAATGCCATGTGGCTTCAGTTTGCCTCCGTACTCATTATTGTCAGAGTCTCCCCGTGTGAGACACTGATGCCAACGCTCCCGGCTTTGTGGCAGGTCGCGTCAGACCGTTGTCAGCGTGAGGCATCACTAAAGTGCTGATTTGCTCACCCGAGTGTCTCCATGTCTTAGACGTTGGCTTTCATCTTCCAGTGGCTGAAAAATGCCCAGCTGCCCTTCTTCCACTGGGAAGCCACGGAAGGTCTCGCCACGTATGTCCCATGCCATTGTTTCCTCTGTTAATGTTTCTAATGCTAACTTGAGGCTTTAACACCAAAGACAATTCTAGACCCTATTTAGGGGGGCTGCAGCCCCCTGAAAAACAACAGTTTTAGCGATTTGTCCCAGGTTTTCGTATACTGTATGTTTCATACCTCTGGCTTGGCAAAATTTACTGGGGATCCCCCCCTACTCCTGGCAAATTTAATCGTGGGGGGGAGGGGGGAATGAGCTCCTGTAAAGGTCAGAATTGCCCCCAACACCCCAGGCGGCAAGATTTACATGCTGCTAATTCTGGCTTTGGAAACTGACTGGCATTATGCTGCCGTTAAACACAGCGGGGAAAACGACTCAGTCTGCCACTATCTGATTATTCACTCTACATCCAGCAGAAAAAATATTCAGGTTGGCCTATGAGCAATTTTGTATTTAAATGCAATTACTGAAAGTTTTATTCCATAAAAACACTTTCTATTGTAATGTCCATTCCAGTTACAGGCCTTTTTATCTGTTATTCTATTAATTGTAGTAAGGTGCTGTCCATTCACTGCTCATTTTAGCATCAAGGTCTTCTGCTCATTATGTAAGAAACACACATTGGAATCACAAGTTTTATAAACAATACTGGATGCGCAGAGATAATGTGTAAGATCTTTCTCATGCAAGAAACCCAGAATATTTCCAGCTCTTTTTTTATATACAGTGAGGTCATTCCCATTAAATTACACCATAAAGCCTTAATTGATAGGTCGTTTTATGATTAACATAGCAGAATGCTATTGGGTTATTGAGCTTATAGTTGGGTGTTGGAGTTGTTTACTAGTCGCTTTGCCGTGGATCATTTGGGTGTCAGTGCTGCAGCATTCAGTGTAACCCGCATCAGAATAGCAGAGAATGGTGTGCAGCCCCCTTACCATAAAGGAGTGACACCCCCCCCCCCCCATGGTGTCCAGGTCCTGTTTGCATCTGTCACCGAAGGCCGGCTTTATGTCATGCGTAAAAAACACGGCTCATTTCACAATATAAGTTGGTTGTGG